CAAAATCTGTGATGCAAACTACACAGAGGCGTGGGACTTGCTAAAATCTCGCTATAAAGTAATGCGAGTTATTGTTGAGGCACACCTCAGGGCGATAGCTGACGTTCGCAAGGCTTCGGGTGACACTGCTGATGCTATTAAGGGTGTTCTCGATGCAATTCAGCAACACATACGAGAGCTTAAAGCATTAGGGCGTCCCGTAGACTTCTGGGACGATTGGTTAGTACATAATACAGTAAATAAACTCGCGTTCGAAACCCGCAAGCAGTGGGAGTTATCGCTTATTAGCGATGAACCCCCCACCTTCGAACAACTGACAACGTTTCTGGAGATTAGGTGCCGCTCATTGGCAATGATTACCGCGCCTGTTCCGCAGGCAACAACTATTAAGCCGACGACGCATAAATACGCTGCGAAATCAACAAAAGTATTTCACGCAATTCCAGAGCAAAACCCCGCGCGCTGCATGTACTGCAATGCAGCTCATAAGATCTACTCTTGCGACAAATTTCGTAGTTTAGATTTTACTGCAAAATCTAAATTTATCAAAGAATCCAAAGCTTGCTTGAATTGTTTAAGTCCAGGGCATTACAAAGAACGCTGTAATAGCTCATCCGCTTGCCGAATATGTCATCAATGACACCATACGCTGCTTCACAGTAATACACATTCACCCGCCGCCACATCGGCTCATGTCGTTGATGCCATCGCTGCCGCTTCGAATCCCGCATCTGTAAGCAACCATGCAACTGGTTCATCTGCCACCGCTTTAGCAGTAAATAGCGCTGCTTCACACGTTTCGTCCTGCTTGAGTGCTGGTTCCATTCCGCTACCTGCAACGCAAAAATCAGTTATATTATCTACCGCATTAGTAAAGATTCGAGACTGCGCTGGTCATTGGCAGACAGCACGTTTATTGTTCGACACCGGGTCGCACGCCTCTTTTGTGAGGCATGTGTACAGCGTTTGGGATTAACACGTTCATCGTCTTCTGTATTTGTCACAGGAATTTGTTCATCGCAAGGCGGTCGCTGTAGAGGCGAAACGCTGCTCACGCTTTCGTCTAATTGTTCGGATAAATGCTACGATATTACCGCGCTGATTCTTCCGAAAATCACCAACGATTTGCCGACGCAGACCTTGAGTGTTTCTAGTTGGCCACATATCCAAGGCTCATTCCTAGCTGATCCAAATTTCGCGAAGCCTGGCCGCATAGACGTACTCGTAGGCATGGATGTAATGGATCAACTAATCTGTGTGGAGCTTCGAAAAGGTCCGTCTGGCACGCCTATGGCCCAGAAAACAGTTTTTGGCTGGACTTTATTTGGAAACGTTGACAGTCTTGGTTCGCCAACGCCTAGTTTGCAATCGCTGCATTGTGATGTGCAATTAGATCGAGCGCTCGCTAGGTTATGGGAGCTCGAAGACTCGCCGCAGAAACAGCATCTCACGCATGAGGAAAACTTCTGCGAGAATCACTTCAATTCTACACATCAAAGAATGCCGGATGGTCGCTTTGTGGTTGAACTACCACTTAAACCTAATACAGTATTGGGTGAGTCACGAAACTTCGCAATACGTAACCTGCTATGCATAGAACGAAGGCTCGCTAGCAACAGCGATTTGCGCTTACGCTACGATGAGTTCATGAGAGAGCTCATTGACATGGGTCACATGGAGGAGGTGTTTGAAACGACGAGTGAGGTGTATTATATGCCACACCACCCAGTCATTAAAGAATCCAGCGTTACGACCAAGCTGAGGGTAGCCCTCAACGCGTCCGCCAAAACCACCACGGGTAACTCGCTTAATGACGCATTGTTTGTTGGACCTCAGCTACAGCAAGATTTATATTCTATATTGCTGCGCTTCAGAACGCATCGCTACGCGGTAACCGCGGATGTAGCTAAGATGTATCGGCAGGTCTGCGTTTCGTCGAAACACGTCGATCTGCAACGAATCGTTTGGCGTCCAGATCCATCTTCACCCATTAGAGATTACCGCATGTTCCGCGTAACGTACGGGGTGGCCGCCGCGTCTCACTTAGCTGTAAAAGCGTTGCAACAAACTGCTAAGTGCACAACTAATGGGTGTAAGAAAGCGGTTGACGCGATCCTCAATGATTTTTACATGGATGACCTGCTAACTGGAGCCTCTTGCAAGTCACAACTCCGGTTGCTTCAACAAAACGTATCCGAAATTCTTCAAGAAGGCGGCTTCGAACTAAGGAAGTGGGCATCTAACTGCGCTGAGCTGAAAGAAATCATCTCCAAGTCATCTCAAACTATATCCCATTACATAGTCGACGGTAAGGACGTTCATGCGTTAGGCCTCATTTGGAACATAGAGGGCGACTACTTTACATTCGCAGTCGACCTAAAGGAGCCACCCGCTATTTTGACTAAGAGAGCCTTTTTGTCAGATGCCAGTATTCTCTTTGATCCGCTGGGCTTACTTGCTCCTGTGACAATATGCTCGAAAATGTGGTTCCAAGACATTTGGCGCGCTGAGGTTGGATGGGATGACTTGATACCAGACACAATAGCAAATCTATGGGTTGATCATCGCGTGCAGCTGCAGAAACTAGTAGACTTGAAGGTGAGTCGCTGGCTCGGTTGTGGAACGACTGCATCCTTTACTGAATTGCACATTTTCGCTGATGCTTCCGAGCGCGCTTACGCTGCAGTGATGTACGCACGCACCGTTCATAGTGACGGTCAGGTCACCGTTTCAATAATTTCGGCCAAAACCAAAGTGGCACCGATTAAAACTACATCTTTGCCACGCTTGGAACTGTGCGCTGCTCACCTCGCTGCTAAGTTAGTTAGAAGTGTGTTGCATAGTTGGGGTGATCTACGATACCCGTTATTTGCTTGGACGGACTCAACTATTACGTTGGCGTGGTTGCAAGCACACCCTAGCAGATGGGAAACGTTTGTCGCAAACCGGGTCGCTGATATCCACGAGATTCTTCCTCCGGAGTGCTGGAATCACGTACGCTCTGAAGGAAATCCAGCAGATTGCGCGTCTAGAGGTATGACTCCGCTAAAACTTCTGCACCATGAGCAATGGTGGAACGGTCCAGACTTTCTGAGTAGTTCAAACCAGTTTTGGAAGCAAGGCTTATCAAAAACGCACGTAACGGAGTTGGGTCTACGGAAGAAGGTTCATTCTCACGTCACAAACTCGGATCTTCATTGGTCGATAATGACTAAATACTCGTCGTACTCCAAATTACGGCGAATCATCGCTTACGTTTTACGTTTTATGCTCAATACCCGCTCTAGTATTCAACGCACTGGCGAAAAAAGATGTGGTCCTCCTAGCTGTGTTGAGATAGCTGAAGCTGAGCGCCGTTTAATAAGGTATACCCAACATTTTTTCTTTACTAGCGAAATTTTTCATTGCAGCGCAAAAAGGCCGATCCCGCTCCGCTGTAGCCTGTTGCGCTTGCAGCCGTTTCTCGACTCAAATGGTATTCTTCGAGTTGGGGGTAGACTGAAGTCCGCGGATGTCGCATATGATGCAAAGCATCCCGTCATCTTACCCAAGAATTCTCCGCTGTCGAAGCTAATCATATTCGACATTCATCGGTTCACTCTGCATGCAGGACCACGTTTAATGCAAGTGGTTTTGCTACGGCGCTACTGGGTTATTGGCGCCCGCAACTTGATCCGCAGTGCTTATCGCAAGTGCGTAAAATGTACTTATTTAAATCGGAATCTCGCTACGCAATCAATGGGTGATCTTCCTGTATCTCGAGTTACCTACGTCCGCTGTTTCATTCGCACCGCCGTAGATTTTGCCGGCCCATACATGTTTAAGTCCATCAAAGGCTATATTTGCTCCTTCATTTGTATGTGCACTGGCGCAATGCACCTAGAGTTTGTCGGAGATTTATCGACTTCCGCTTTTCTTAACGCGTTCAAAAGGTTTATTAACCGAAGAGGGTATTGCAAGACGGTGTTTTCAGATAATGGCACAAACTTCGTCGGCGCTGAGAAGGAACTTCGCAACAGATATGAGCAATGCATGGCAGACGGCAGACTACAATCTTTCTTTTCTGAGTCGAACATAGAGTGGCGTTTTAATCCGCCGACCGCGCCGCATATGGGTGGGTACTGGGAGACCGGTATCAAGCGCATTAAATACCACCTAAAACGCGTTTTGGGCGAAACTCTACTTTCATACGAAGAGTTTAGTACATTATTGACAGAAGTCGAAGCATGCGTGAACTCCCGCCCGTTATGTGAAGGCACAACAAGCGCAGTCGACCTCGAAGCGTTAACCCCAGGGCACTTTATCGTTGGGGAGCCGCTTAAGTCAATCCCAGAACCTGAGGGTCAAGGGTTCTGCGGAAATCTTTATCAACGTTGGCAGTTAATTTCCGCAATAAGGCGGCATTTTTGGCGTCGTTGGAGAGATGAATATCTTGTCAGCCTGCAACGTCGCACAAAGTGGTTTCGGCCAACACGCAACTTCGAAGAAGGAGATATAGTAGCTGTGTTCAACGAGCCTACTCCACCTACAAAGTGGTTACTAGCGAGGGTAATTCGATGTCATCCTGGAGC